CCCCACTGTAGCTCAAACATACAGTGTTTAAAGCAAATTACTGACCTCTGTCATCATTTTAAGTGGGGGAACTTGCACAATCGGTGGCTGACTAAATACTTTTTTGCCCCACTGTACATCGCATTTGTCACGAGACTGCTGGTATATTTGCATGCGAAAAGTGAAGATCAGTTTATGGTAGTTATAAAAAAAATTATGTGGTTAACCAATGCCAACAATAAAAGGGATAAAAGACAATATATAAATAGGAGAGTTCCTACTTCCTAAAGTTTCTTTTTCATAGTAATGTGTGACAAAGATAGCATTAGCATTCCTAAATCCAAGCTTCTTTTTCTGCATTAAGTTAAAAAAGTACATAAATAAAAACACACAGGACAGCATCAGCCTTGCGTCAATAAATAGTATTACTTCTTGTTATATTTCCTATCTTTAGTGCCTGAATTTCTAGTTAGATTAAGTTTAGCTGTATTATTGTAGGGTCATTAACTTACAATATAAAGTGCCTTGAGGCAGCTGTTGTTGTGATTTGTTGCTATATAAATAATAAATGGATTGAACTGAATTAAATGTCCAGTAGATGTTTGTAGGCGAGCAGCCAGTGTAAATATTTGTTAGCTAGTCAGCCTAGCTAGCTACTGACTCATATTGGTCTGGCTTGAAGAAACGGGACATACAAAGGGCCATAACACTGTTATTATAGTTACTGAGACAAACATAGTTAAATGTGAAGCTAAGATTAGAGAGCTAGAGATTAAATATCTCGCTTTGTACGTGTCGGTAAGTATGGCAGATTTATTTTGTAATGGGCAACTTAGCCATCTTTAGTAGTCTGATGTGAATAAAAAGGAAATATAAACACAATAAAACTGTCATTACAAGCTGAAACAAATATTGAGTATAACATTCAAACTAGCTAGCTAAAGACTACATGTATAGCTAACTAAATATTTAAGAAATGTTTTTATGTCATTTTGCCATAATTTGTCTTTATATACATTTTCACTAAAGCGAAGCAATTATCACATTGAAAACCAAAGACAACCTCTTCAGTATTTGCCACAGTAATGCAATAAACCAATTATCCAGTCCAAGTTATTACATTGTGGTTGCCAGTTTGATGAGTTCCCAGGGACTCTAATGCAAGTTAGTCTTTGTCAAGCCTTATGCCTATAAAAAGCATTCACATTTTACCACAAGATTATTGACTTACTCATGATTATCCATGTTCACATATAAACAATTTTTTGCTTTATTTGAAGCTGAAGATTTTATATAAAAAAAGATTGGTTCACTTTAAAGACTTCATAGGATTCATAGGACATTAGTGCCATTGTTATCTACTTTAATCACCTCACTAGTTTAGCCTTACTTTCCTCTTCATTTCAGGTAGAGAAACGTCCAGTGGCAGAATGTGGGGATCACTTAGACTGTCAGTCCTGTCTGTCTGCCAGAGACCCCTATTGTGGCTGGTGTGTCCTGGAGGGACGGTAAGAAATGTATTATTATTATTATCATCTTAATTTTCCTTTAAGATATAGGGAGATGTAAATGCATCTTTACTGTGGCCATGATTCTCTTTTCTGATTTTATCCGATTTTCTTACATGTAACATTATTCAGCTGTGGTCAGCGGTGGGAGTGCCAGCGAGGATCTGAGCAGGGTCACTGGTTGTGGAGTTTCAACCAGACACAGCAGTGTCTCAGTATCCAGCACCTCAGCCTCTACAATATCAGCCGTGGAGAGGAAACTGATGTAATACAGGGGGAAAGGGGCAGCAGATTGAAGCACAAGATTACTTTGTTGTTTCCAGTTCTTGAATTAAACCCTCAATGGGTAGAGTTAAAAAGTAACCATTTACTTTAATGAAATGCCCTCTTTGTCTCTTTTCCTCCTTTCTTTCTTCATACTGTCCTTTCCTATGTAGATTACAGTGTCAGTAGAAGGCCTACCCAGTCTACAACAAGGCGAGGCCTACTCTTGCTTCTTCCAGTATACAGAAACACCGGCCTTGCTCACTACTGCTGGTGTGATATGTTCCACCCCTGATGCCAGCAGTCTGCCCCCCATTAGCCATGGAGATGGTGGGTGTTGCATCCACTCATGTAACTCATGTAAATAGTGGCTGGAGTGTTTTTGGACTGATTTACAACTTGCATGTATTTGTTTCTAAGTGGCAATGTGAAAGCTACTTCCTACTAAAGTGCAAACAATAGCTAGTGTCAGATGACAAAGATACATGACATATATTCAGAAGGTTTTACTTACTATTCTCTTTGTAAAAGCAAAGTTGAGGCTGCCCTCAAATAGTGTCCTCCAGTCGCTCACTGAGAATTTCAAAGAATTTGTATGTAGTTACTCCGTGCACATTTTTGATTTATTGATCAGTCAACTTGAAGCTAACGTGTCCTGGCTTACTTGTTGCAGACTTTGTAATGGTTACCTTATCGCTGCGCTTCATAAATGTCACGGTAGCAGAGACAGAATTCACCTTCTACAACTGCAGCTTGGTGCAGCAGCTGTCTGGACGCAGGCCGTGAGTACCTCTCTAACCAAGACACATGCGTACACACACTCACATTATTAAATCTAATTTGGCAAAATGCATTAGATGCTAGTAAGGTGTTTCCAGCTTGTTACTACAGTAAGAATGCCTGTTTGCACATTAGGTGTCTGAGTCTCAATTGTTAGCACTTTGGCTTAATTAACCCTGTTGTGGATACGGACATGGACAACTGGACACACCATGGCTAAGTAGCTATTCCTGGTATATTTCTTTGAAGTCCACCACCTGGGCCACTTGTTTAGTCGGTGCATTGTAACGGAAATTTTTTAGTGAAGTCTGCACGGTCACAGAAATAGCCCTAACCTGATATTTCCATAGGAATTGCTTGAAATTCATAATAATTTTTATATGTTTCAGTTACAATGATTATTTTCTTTGTTTGTATAGTAAGTGTAATGTAGCGTTGGGTTGTCTGAAAGAGTCTGATTGTTGTCATAACAGCCTTTTCAGAGATTGCGATCATGTTTTTTTTAACATTGCTGTGTTCTCTCCCAGATGCCAAGGGTGTATCAGCAGTCGTTGGGGGTGTAACTGGTGTATCCACCAGCATGTCTGCACACATAAACATGTCTGCACAGAAGGAGTGACTATCTACAACCAAAATGTGAGTCTGCACGACACAGAGACGGCTTTTAACTGTGCTGTGTATATAGATTCTATAAGGGGAAACGGATAGCCTAAGAGTGTTGTTTGTTTTATGAGCATTTATCATACTGCTTTTTGCACCACACATACCAATTTTTGCATGCATTTTCTGTTGTTTGTTGTAGTTCTGTTTATTTTTTTGTTTACTGTCCCTGTTCTATTTTTTGTTTTACCATGAATGTTTTTATGTTACTCATAAGTTACTCCTTAATGTTTTTTTGCTTTCACCTTCTGTTTTATCCTAATTTGTCTTCCCCATGCTTCTTTTCCCTTCTCCTCCCCCTCCCCCCTTTGCTTATTCACTTGTGTTTCCTCATCGTCAAGTTCAAACCTCCAACCCCCACCACACCAACACCCAGCAGAAAACTGACCCCTCCACCTCCTACTGTCCCGACTGCTACAACAACAACTACTGCAACAACACAGCCACCACCCACAGAGACATCTGCTCCCACCACTACAGCTGTCCCCACCACTACAATCAAAGTAATGCCACCAACAACCCCCAATGCTGACTCCATCACACCTATTGGCCTCCCTACAACTTCTCCCTCTGTCAGGACCTCCACCCGGGTCCCTACGGAGCACACTGAGGTCACCACCATAGGCTTCTCCGATGTGGGAAGAACAACAAAGGGTACTGATGAACCTACCAGAGGTTTTTCAAAGGATCAGCTCACTGATAGCTTAAATATCACACAAAGACACACAGTCACTACATTACCCAGCAGCACTAGTCACCACACAGACTCTCATTCTTTTGAACCATCTGGTGGATCTTCCTCTGAAATGAGCATGAGCGCTTCCAGTGAAGTAACCCTTTTATCAGACCCGAGAGATTCCAAAACTCAAGAGAATGACTCACCACTGTGGCTGAACAGGACGACGAACCCAGAGAGTGAGGTGGTCTCAACAAGTTCATCTGTCATTCCGACATTTGTATTGACACAATCACCTGAAACAGATATTGACCTCAGCTTTGATTCTGGAGAGAACTCCCAATCTGATTCTACAATTGACTCTTATTTTCTGGTGAGTGCCAAAGCCAGAAAAAGAACTACTGTCACAAGTCACCAAGAGGAACCACTTAAATCAATATACATTTAGGGGAATAGGCTTATTTGTCTCCTGTTGACGGGTGGAAAAAAAAATCAGTGCCATGCACTGTGAAGCTACACGTATCTGGCAGTTTGCTTAGCTGAACAGACAGCTTAAGTTGCTCGTACTCACTGATTTCTGTCTATTAAAGCCTCAATATTAGCATTTTTACTACCACCAGGAGATTTTGAGGAAAGAGCTGTCAGCCAACTGTAGCTAGCTTGGTTAGAAAGGTGTGTGTGTGTGTGTGTGCGTGTGTGTGTGTGTGTGTGTAAATAAATAAATAAATGCAAAAAACAAAAAACTCAAATTGCATCTACCAAAAATACCCTTTAATAAGACCAGGTAAGCAAATAGTTCTTATATAGTGCTTTTCTACTCTATCTTGAGCACTCAAAGTGCTTTACACAACTTGTGCATTCACCCATTCGCACAAGCACTTTTTTCTAAGTTCCGCCTAACAGACTAGGATCGAACTACCAACCTTCCAGTTAGTAGGTGACCTGCTCTACCGCCTGAGCTACAGCCACCCCAAGTTTAAGTTTAAAGCTTTACTCTAGATGGTTTGCAAAAGGTGCCAAACCAGCAATGACTGACATTACTGGAATTGTTTTGAGTTTCAGTGGATTGTCTATCATCATATCATAGCTGTTAACATGTTGAGCACTAGCATAATATTACAGTGCTACAAGCTAAGCTAAGCGGCCGTCCCTGTGCTTTGCTCATACATCTTATGTTGCATTGTGGGACATGTCTTTGTGTTGGTCATCGTCTTTTTGTTTCTCTTCGTTTTATATTTTGTTTGCATTTTTTCAAGGACAGCAACGTTTTTTATGGGATTTACTTTTCTTTGACAGCTTGTATTTCAAAGATGAACAGAAGAATTCTTATACATAATATACATCATTATCTATAGTAAGGGCACCATCTTATTTTTTAAATGGACAGTTTAGTGGGGTTGTTCTTAGTTTGGTGGATGGAAGTAGAATGTGGCTTGTCCCAAACTACCTTTTGCCCATTGTCTATATCAAATTTGTCCAAATCAGAGTAAAAAATATGAACTTTTAAAAAACAAACAAACAAACAAAGATGTCCAGAGCTGGAGGATTAATTAGGATTTTATTAACCCTGAAGATTTTAGTTCTTATAGATGTTCAGTGAAAGAAAAAAGAAATGAGCAGGTGCCTGCGTAATATTAAACGTTGTGGGCAGGATGCACATGCAGGTCTATAAATGGCTGTATTGTCTGTATGTGTAAATGATTTTGCCGTGTCCTCAGGAATGCCCGTGTGTGGAGAAAGTTCAGGATTCTCCTCTTCTCCCTGTCAATGTTGAGCGGAAGATCACTCTGGTGGGACAATACCTAAACCTGTTTCAGGTTTGTCTCATCCTTAAATCTCAACATATATTCTCTGTTACATATTTTAAAATTGAGATTTGTTTCACGTTGTCAGTCAAAAACACTTTTAGAAACTCTTTTGTGTTGATACCAGGACAGATAAATTAATAATGTGTTTATTTTGGAATGTATTTGTGGGTCCACTCTGTACATTCAGGATGAAGATTTAAACTACGAATGTGTACTGGACATTGAGAATAAGTCAGTGGTAGTGGATGCCTCAGTGCAGCCGGATACTGCAAAGCCATCAGTCTTCTTTATCACCTGCCAACCGCATCAGGTCAGATTACTGCAAGTCTGAAAGACTGATAACTACTCTGATTGTCTGTCTCAGTGTAACTGAGTAAACGTCCCGTGTGTGTTTGTACACCAGTTTCAATAAAAAGCTGCCTTTAAATGATGATTTAGAAATACTTATTTATTAATGATAACCTGTTTAGCACAGCCAACATTACAACTAGTCCTATGTTAGACCAATAAACGAGGGACATGTGCTGAACGACGCCTGTTTTTGCATCAGTGAGCTTCATTAGCTCTCAACCAGATAACTGGACGTACGCTGTAACAGCTGTACACATGGTTTGCATCACACGAGCTTGTACACATTATTCTTTTTGACTGCTCGTCTTGTTTCAGTATGTGTACTCAGTCTCGCTGGAGGAATACCCAACCACAATCAATGTGAGGAGAAAAAACAACTTCCTCATTGACAGCGCTGAGGATCTGTATGGTGGGTTTGCATAGCTGTGCATAGTTGCAGTATAGACAACTGTTGTTTAGAATACAATAGTTTTGTGTATAGTGCATTCATTTCATATTTACTACTATAGTGCTCTCTGTTTACTTTATACCCTCTCTTGCTTCAGTGACTCTGTTCAATTGTTCGGTGGGGCGGTCAGACTGCAGCCGGTGTCGCACAGCTGACCCCAAGTATGGCTGCGTTTGGTGTGGTGGGGCCAGCAGTTCTCACTGTGTGTACCAAGACTCCTGCACCGATGAGATCAAGCACACCTGCCCAGCACCAGTCATCCACTTTGTAAGATATTTCTACCTTCTTTCCAACACTTTACTCACTTTCATTAAGTAGGGCTGAAAGGAAAAACAAAAAGTCTTTCGTCACACATGGGGCTTTGTTAACTCTCATTTAACATAAAACTAACATAACTGACAATGTAAATTCATTGTTTTCTACTTATCTGAAGCTGGATTGTGATGGCAGCAGGCTAACCAGGCTTCCAGCCACACTTTCCAGTTCTTCCTGGGGGATCTTAGAATGAACTGTTCTATGGACACAGTTCTAGAGTTGGATGTCTCGAGACCACTTTTTCGTGGTCTTGGTCTTGTCTTGGTCTCGACGGACTTTGGTCTTGGTCTCGACGGACTTTGGTCTTGGTCTTGTCTTTGTCTCGCTGTCTCTGTCTTGCTTTCTCAGATCGACATAGTGTTCGGAGATTTGGAGTCAACCATCGGCGGAGCGCGGGGGGGTGGCTTACTGGGATTAAGCCCGGGGTCTTTTGGAGTGTAATTTGTTTCATAGTTAGATACCTTACTGACAACTGTATAAAACAAAAACTACACACAATATTCAAAGCAAATAGCGCACAGTCGTAAATTCCCCCTAATTTTGGTATGATCCGAGCTCAGGCACTAGGCGACTGAGCACAGCACTTGCGCATGCATGTGAGCAAGGGGGGAGAAGCTGCTGCCTGCGAGTTTTCTGCAGACAGAGGAGAGCTTAAGTTTGACCAGGTACCAAAGCAAATCATTCGTACTTTACAAATAATGTAAATATGACGGTGTATCACAAAAGAGTAACCACTGAATAAGCACTTAACAGCTTAGAAAAAGTGAATGGATGAATTAATTAGTTATATAAAGCACTTTGAGTGCTCGGGTAGAGTAGAAAAGCGCTGTAGAAGAACCAGACCATTGGCATTGGCATGCAAACCAGATGCTGAAACCACCCAAACTGGCTGCTTTCGATATGCAGGAGCAATGGCTCTACTCCAACTCCTCACCCTACCTCTGAGGCTTAGCCCATTTGATCTCATTTTATCTGCTTGTATTCATGACTGCACTCTTTCAGTCATTACCTATATTTCATGACCATGAAATACGACTTATATATGGACCTCAACCTGATGTGGAAGGTGCATGATCTATGTTATATTTTCAAGCATGCCTGATTAAGCCCCATGGACACAGGCCTGATCAGCAGGCACTTGCCTTCAAGTTCCCCTTCCCAAGCTGGGTTCCAGGACAGGTTCTCATTTTCTTGCTTCCGGGCAAGGTGGTTGAGCTGCAAATCTTCCTCTTCATTTGTGTTTTCCGAATTGCTCGTTTTGCCAGTGGGAGACCATACCAGTGGCTAATGCCCCAGAAACAATGGCTCCCAGGATCACACGGAAATGCAAACCTCTCCACTACTGAAAGATTGTGATTTGCTGAGAGGGAATAATAACATGTGTCTCATATGTTTTGATTTTTTAATCATAAAATCAAAGTTGAAATCAGATTTAAGGTGAGCACACAGATAATGTCCACCTTCAGCAGATGCCTAGAGAAACAAATTTACTGTGTCATAATCTTATCATTTTATGCCATTAAAGGCAAATATCTACGTTCCTCACAGTATGTTGAGTCTGCTTAAATGCTCACAACAACTGTGCATTAAAGCAGACTCCAAACCCTCATCATTTCATTTCTTCCATTTACATTCAAAATAATATACAAGATAACAACTGACGTTAAAACCCCCCACATATATCCAACAGTCTGATGAGCCACACTTTTATTGTTGTTGTTATGTTGCTCATGTGAATCTGTGCATGCTCACCTTCTGCTGTTGACACAGTTCATGCTGGCTCTACTGGTAAAGTTTAGAGCGAGTGTTTCCCCCATCTTTGCCCTGCCACCCCCAGCAACAATTCTTGCTTCAGGAAATAACAAAAGACTACAAGGAGATAAAAAAAAAAGAAGTTTTAATTCATTACAATGTCACTCTGTTTTGCTTTATGGTGACATTAGTTCCTTTTCTATGCTCAGGGATTCACTGTGAGCTAATCAGATGAAGTAAATGATAGTAACTCCAGCTGAGGAACCAGTACATATGGGTCAATCATATTGAACCATGAGTACATCCTTATGTCCCCGCTGGTCCCTCATTTCTATCCTCCTATCTTGGCCACTGAGACATATCAGTTTTGATCATGCACAATATTCACTTTGCTCTTGTGTTTCAGCTGGACCCAGTATCCGGTCCCGTCGAGGGAGGGACAGTGGTGACCATTTCAGGCTCCAACCTTGGTCAGAGAGCCGAAGACATCCAGGGCTCAGTCACAGTGGCAGGTGTTCCTTGCAATGTGATCCACAGCAGATATGAAGTCTCCTCAAGGCAAGTCAGGAGCACACCTGTGTGTACACAATTATTTTATGTACCATACTCCCTTTGTGACAGTTCTGTGACTCTGTTGTGTAGGATAGTATGTGAAACTACAAGCAGTGGAGGGGAGAAGAGTGAACAGGCCTCAGTCAAAGTGATGGGAGGAGGAGTCGGGCTGTCAGCTCAGTGTTTCCACTTCCAGGTAAATTAAGCAGCCATCAGTGTGTTTACATTAAACTGTAAAATGATTGAAGTATGTGTGTGTACAAATCTGTTTTTCCTGTCTTCCTTCTTTCACCCCAACCGGACGCGGCAGGTTTCTTCCTTTTGAAAGGGAGTTTTTCCTTCCCACTGTGCTTGCTCATAGGGGGGTCATATCATAGTTGTTTTTTTTCTCTGTATGTAATGTATTATTGTAGGTTCTACCTTACAACATAAAGCACCTTGAGGCAACTGTTGGTGTGATTTGGTGCTGTATAAATAACATTTACCGTAAATCCCGGACTACAGAGCGCACCTGATTAAAAGAATTTCTAATTTTAGAAAGAAAATCAATTTTGTACTTGAACAGGCCGCACCGGATTTTAAGCCGTATGCGTTTAACTTGTTATATGAGATATTTACACAGAAACATTACACGTGAGGATTTTTAACGTTTAATTTAATCCGTAACATAAACATGGTAACATAAACGTTATGGTAACATACAAAAATACATACTGCAAATGCTTTTTTTCCTCGAACAGCGCCTGTTACACGGCTACCTTT